TGGCGCTGGCTCTGCCAATTTGTAAACATTTGATAGTTGACTTACTTGGACTCGATCTTGTAGACTGGTCATATTTTGAGTGAAATTCAAGAGGTGAGAATTTCCTCTCAGACCTTACAGAATTTCACAATTCCTGCTCCAAATATGCCATTGTTAATATCTAAATTAAATTACATTATGTCTACTTGCTCGTATTAGCAAATATTTAAACAGTCATGGTTTTGTTCTAAATTTTACAAACAGCGTCATTAGTGCATCAACATTTCCGGTATATTGTCTGCCGTATAGAATACAATGAGTTTTTGTATATAGTTATCCTTAGAATTACACGACGTTTGCTACAGCTACCGGTGCGTAAGGATATTGGCGGCAATAATTATATAGTCATCTAAAAAAATACGGAATATTTATTTCATGACACTATAATTTAAAATGATAACGAAATATCCTGCTAAATTTTTTATTTACACCGATATTATTTATTTACATTTACTTTTCGTTTTAATAACATTTATTTTGAACTGAGTGTTTTCTTAAAAGGTCTTTCCCTAAACTTATAAGATTCGTTGGCTTTTCATTAGGTTCAAGTGACCCTGACAAAACATAAATCGAATATTGTTTACATTTTTTTCACTTTAGAAAACAATATAATGCCACCAGAGAGAGTCTGTTGGGACCGTGCAAGTTCGGAACAGCGACACCTGGTGTCGTAAATCAGCAAAATTTACTGCGCTTTCATGTTAGATCGAGGTAACAGAATAAGAAGAAAAAGTAAGATTGAGGTTATGTCGGTATGTTATTAAAAGGTAAACGTTGATGTAGCGCAAATACAAATAAATATATTATTGAATTACAGCATTATTGTTAATTTGGATTCAATAATAAAAACTGGATAGAAGAAAGTAAATCACCAAATAATTTTTCAACCAAGCACTGAGTCAAAGAGAAAAGCTTTAGTAGTGGCAAATGTCAAAAAAGAATGGAAGAATTAAGAAAAATAAATTACCATAAATAATGCTAATGCATAAATTTACAGGTTAAGCCCATGATATCATCATATTGGTTTGAACAATTAATTCTTTCCCTGTAAACTTTTGGACAGAGAATATATATCTTAATGCATCTTCAGAAAAACTTGAACTTGATGCATTCTTCTTATGCTTTTTTATGATATAAATCCACTTTTCTCTTTGTAGTAGCTTTATGCTTCGAAGTTGGAAACGAATAAAACTTAAATTGACAATTTTTGTTGTATTTTTACAATTTATAACACAGCATTTCCTAAATCCCATTTTCTTCAGTGACAGAAGGTGTAAATAAACAAAACGAATATGAAATATGACAATTGACAATATGAATTTATGAAATCTATGAAATGTGCAGTAAAAAATTCAAAATTTCTCCACTACTCGCGCACGATCGTTTCTCGTATCCCCTCCAAGTACTTGCACGTCGCCAGTAATTAGGTTGAAGTAGCACAAGTTGCAATTCTATGAAGAAGTACTGCGGAGGATGAACACAACCGCGGATTTGGTCAACATTGTGAAGAGCCGTAAGCTGGAGTACTTGGTACATATAATGAGAAATCAAGGCAGATACAAGCTACTCCAATGCATTTTGCAGGGTAAAATTGAAGGAAAAAGAGCCCCAGGACGAAGAAACCTACATTATACGATACGTCAGAAGAGATTTAAAAAAAAATAACATGTAATAAATTCACTGTTTAAATAAAGATTATGTACTTATACTATTACAATAAAATATTAAAACCAATAAACGATAACTTATTGAGCACTGCTGATCGAATCAACAGGGCAGTAAAATGTTATTCATAAAGGTACCTATCGCCGCGTATCTAGTCCGCTAGTAATAAAGTTACCAGCATTTAATTGCAAAGCGGTCTTCTTAGATGGAAAATACTTTAGATTAAAGTCCTACGCATGACCGATCTAGACTATATATCATAAATGTATTTATGCGGATAACTATAGATTGATACTTGTAACAGGTATATAAACATCGATTAATAAAATATATTGATAAACAGCCATATCAATTACAATAATAAACTATTTAAAATTCATCACGACGTTCGTGTACATGTTGAGTTTTCTTATCCTGTACGTCATCTAGAAGGTTGTTGCAATATTTCTGCTGCCTTTTTCTGGAACCGACTTCTTAGAAAATATTTTGCGTATATTTAGTTTGTTTTACAATTCGATTACAGATTTGGCTAGAATAGGATGTTGATATTTAACTAATTGTATGAACGTGTTTAAATATTCTAAATACAAACCTATTACAATACACAATTAATGAAAACTATCACCCAACACGAACAGCAAATGGTAATAATATAAAAATATATTGAAATCATTTAGAAAAGAGAAAAAAATGCATGCATTTACCTATATGGGAAGCATGCTGGACAGGAAAAGGGTCCAAAAGTAGCAATGCTTTTTGTGATTGAATTTCTTTATATATTGGAATGAGCCATAATGAATTGTAATAAAAATTTACATTTTTTTGACGTTTCAACAAATCTAGGAATCGTTCTTAAAAAACCATCAAATAAAAATTGTAAATAATTGATAACCGGTAAACGTCTTGATTGCTGTATACATTTCTATAATTTATTAATTACATTTATTTCTATTGTGTAAACTGTTTTTTATTTTACTTATCTTGAGTTCAAGATTCATAGAGACTTAGAGGTTAACCTTGTAAATATTTATGTGGCCTTTTTGCGGGAAGCAAAGTAATTACGGCATATTTTAAACTACTTTAATAGATTATTAACAAGAAATTACATACTAAAACAAGTAAGAAAACAACAAGAGTTCTTGTTTGGACTTGAATCGTGTTCTGACGGGAATCAGCCAACTGACTGACTCTCTTCTTTTTGTTTTCTTGCTAGCCTGTCTTTTGGCTTTTGGCGCCAGCGGTCCTTCACTTCAGCAGCACAATCAACCCATGATTGATGGTCTTATATGGCCTTGGTCATAGCACTTTTGAATCAACAGTTTGACTGAAAACAAAGCTTCTCTTGCACCCTTTCAAGAAACCACATTGTGTCTCTTCTTTATTTTCTTAACGTTTTAAGTATAGTTGGATGTGTAAGAAAAACTTTCAGTCGATAGACACTAAAGTCTGTAAGATGCACCTTTTTCGGAATTGTTGCAAAAGTTGATTTTAATTAATCAGTTGGAATTTTGCCTGAATCGTATTGGTTCCTCAGCCCGCTCGCTACGCTACTGATAACAATTATAACGGCGATGTCCAGACCTCACCGAACGTTTGAAGAAGCTACCTAGACTAGTCTAGTCTAGAGTCTAGATGATTCCACAGTGTTCCAATCATCGATTGCACGATCGATAAAGCAGAAGCTCTAGATTACCAAGCAACGACGCTCTGACGTCACGACAGGGTCTAGAAACTTAAACGAGCCAACAGTCCTCTGAGATACTTCGATGGAATTCAGAATAAGACAAAAATATATAAGGGAAATTAAATTTTATTTTACCCAGTTTTCTTTAGCTTGTTTGCATTTTTGTTTAATAGTTCTGTTTAGATCCGAATAGTTTTGGTGTTGCTGTAGGATTTTGCTTGGCGAGTATCTCATTTATGTCGATCATAGTATCATCATGGCGATTTCCACGTATATATTCGTCGATGATGAAGTTTATAAAATGTATTTTTATGACCACGTTCGCCTCTCTACATAATTGAAGCAGTAGTTCCTCGAGTTTGCTTGTAACACCAAGTCCGAAAGCACTGACTACATAATCAACTTTGTCTCTTCCAACTTTGGTATTGAAGTAGCCGTTATTCATAGTAAGATGTTGAAGTTTTAGACATCTCAGAACTTCTTGTATTTGTATGTAGAATTGTCTGCTTCGTCATCTGGTTTATCAGCTTTTAGTGCAGGTACCTGAATAATATTTATATTGACTGAGTTGGAATTTTTTTGCAGACTCCATGTGAATAACCTACACCATTAATACTTATGGATTGTTTTATACTTTTACTCACGATATAACCTACACTATTTCTATTGTTTGAATCACTATTTCTTGAATAGTGAAAATATGTTCCTTTTTTTGCATATGCCACTATCTGGCCATCTGGTTTCGCTAATTCTCAGGATATCATAATTAATTTAAATAATATTAAAGTATTTCTTTTATGGTATTATCGACATTACCTGCCGCAAAAAGCGTTCTAGTATTCCATGTACTAATATTCAGTGTAGTCTTTCTTTTGTTAAGTCGGAAGATTCTTAGCAGCCTCTGATGGTCAAACTTTCGCTCGGTACTGAGGATCCAATTGTTTAGTTTTCTTGACATGATAAAGAAGAGTTACAGGAAAATGTCGGGGGGAAAATCTTTGGCGGCAATACTCTCCTAATCACGACACTTTCCCTGGGATTCTGTAGCATTTATGCTTTCCTGGTGTACCCACTACACCCTCCAGTATCGCCGCTGCGTGGTCGGGAACTACTTATTCAATATATACGCAGTTAAACTTTATATCTGAAGTATGGGTGTTTGATGTATCACCTCTCACAATTTCACTCAAAATAGAGCTATTTGCTCACAAGATCGGGGCCAAGTAAGTCAACTGTCAAATTAGTAGCCACTCAGCACCAAATTATAAGCATTTAGAAAGTTTACAGTGATAATTTCTTAATTTATAAATTTAGTTAAAATATAAAAAATTAATATAATACTAAATCATTCAAATAGTATTCAAGTCAATTAGCAGCATGCACTTGGTGATAAAAAATTCCCACATTCATCACATCAAAACTGTTGGAACAGCCAATCGGTGTAATTGACATCTGCAAGATTTTCTGCTAAAACAGTGAGTCTTTTTAATTGCCAATGGAATTGATGATTTTTAAAGGTTTTATAAACTGGGAATTTTCTTCGTTGTGACTTTTCAACTGAAGTTGTTTTTGTTTTACTTGATTAAATTACAACTAGGTCTTTTTGTTTTAGGAATAACGAAAAACGAAAAGAAAAATCTCGAAATGCTGCTAGATGCCGTAGATCTAAAGAAACCGAACTGTACCTCGATCTTGCTAGTTCCCTTCCATTCACAAGCGAGCAGATTACCCAATTGGATAAGGCTTCAGTTATGCGACTTGCCATTTCCTATCTTAAAATCAGAAATATGATGACGGCTGGTAAGTTTGAATGGCTCTTTTTATAATTATACTATTAAATTCGCATAATTCATATACTTCAGCTTAGATCTTACCAATTTTATGACATAGCTAAGGGACAATTCCCAGTACATACCATAATATAAATACAAATCAAAAAGAATAAAAGTTCTTGTTGTGTTTGTTTCTTTTCTCTATCATAAGACGAAAACCAAATTCTATGTTGGTTGATTATAAAAGACGTTGTTTAATCGTTGTCGAAGCATGCTCTTAGACTACATTCTTTAGCCTAACTCTTTTTAGAAGATCTGATAGCTTCGAGACTGAAACTTTCATGTAGCTCTTTGCGTTTGGCGTTTCTTCGCTCGATGTAAAGACGGCCTGGCAAATATGCGGCGTTTCTTCGCCGCATATTTGCCAGACCGTCACACTGACACAAAATGGTCCCTGCTGTTTCTTAGTCTAGGTGAAAGAATCTGCTAGATCATTATTTGCTAATCCCCTCAGCTTACAGTGTTGTTAACAGACATACTATGGCTTTGACTATTTTCCTGTCTTTTCTTACTGGATCTGCTTTATATTGTAGACTGCGATAAGTATTTTATTTTATTTGTAAACATTTAATTTTATAAATACTGTAGCGAGATTAAATAAAACGAGCGGTTAGAATTTATATAAATATATTTATTTATAACTTGGCAGTTTGGTACTATCTTATCAACTAAACTTACTCCTAACATCGTTACACATATATACCAAAGTTACTATATTCTAGAACATTCCCACCTCTAATTCGCCTACGTGACGGATTGTTCTCTTGCGTTCGAGAGATCTGTGGATGGTTCTCGATGCCTGAAATGCTGCTTTGAAAAATCTTTCTTGAAAACTGAGTTTGAACAATACTTTGCTATGCCGAGTATGTACGTTTTATATGCAGAAAGGGCGATATGTGCAGTATTCCATTCTATCATATACATTCCATTCATATAAAATAACTTAATGAGAATGCACATTTTTCATAAACGGACGTATAAATCATCATCTTTGCTGTTATTGGTCTGATCATTGGGGGACCATTTTTTTACATACGAATTTGACTGGTGAAATGTATTTATAATTTTTAGAATATGCTATTAATCCTGCCTGACTGATATTATTGAAGGTGATCAACATTATGATGAATATCATTTAACTTCTCCACAGGATGGTGCTCCTCGGCATTATGCTTTACTTGTTCTTCGATATCTACAAGAGCAGCGTTCTTCTTTCTACGAATGACCTCCTCGTCACTGGATTTGTCACCCCTGGATTTCTTTTTGTGGGAACTCCTAAAAGTAAAATCTATACATCTCTAAATTTTTTAATTGTCACCGAATGTCGACGAATCACACCGCAAATGCTTCGGCATATTATGAGAGACCGTTTCGAAAAAAAAAACTTTTATCATTTTATGGACACCGGAGGTCAGTTACAACATTTGTTCAACTAAGAAAAAAGTAACCAGCTAAGAATATTAATTTTAAAATGTTTTTTTTTTTTAATAAGTTAAATAAAGTATTAGACCTAATTTAAAAATTTAGAGTCCGATGTAGGGAAGTGCAAGAGCTTTAAAGCGATATCTTAATTTACCCCCATTGCCATTAAAAAATTCCTGGCTTAGGTGTCAAAGTTTATTCAAAAATTGACGTGTCACTGGATTTTTCAAAAATGTTGTCGCAGTTCCTGATAATGCCTCTGTTTCCTGTTTTAAGTATTCTAAATATTTTTTTTCTTTTATCTCAAAATTGAAGCAGCAAATATCTTTATTTTAAATAATTGATGGATTCGACAGTTACTTGATGGAAATTCATTTTATGTAACAATAAAACACTGAAAACTTTGTTTTCAAAACTTCCACAAAATTTATTATAAAATCTTAGTACTACAGCTGTTTCGGCAGAGTGCCTTTCTCAAGTGATCTATTTTTGGTATGCGTTTACACTTTATAGTCTTATAATGAAATAAGTTGAGGAGATGAGAACTGTTTGTCTCAAGTTGGTCATTCAGAATTCTATCTGTGTTTTTTAATTTGTTAATTTCCATAGATTCTAACAAAGATCGTTTAAGGCCAATATTTTGAATGTAAAGAATTTGAAATTCGTCATTAAAAGAATGATTATGATCTAGAAGGTGAAGTGTGCGTATCTAGAATCTGTTTTTCTATTATTGAAAGCCCTTTTTATGTTCTGCTATTCGTTTATTAAAATTTCTACCAGTTTTGACCGATGTAAGTTTTTGGGCAATCGCCACATTTAAGTTTGTATACATCACTGTGTAAGTGCTTTTTATTTTGGCTCTTGTTGTTTTTAATATATTTGCCTAAGTTGTTTGTTCTGAAAGCTGGTGGTCTTCCTTTCTTTTTTGTGTTTGGGTATGTTTGTTGATCTTTATTTTATTTATTATGTTTCATTTATACTTCCTCATTAGGCAAACATAAATTAATAATAGCATAAATTTTATTTATTTTGTTAAACTTCACATTTTAGTACAAAAAATGGTTAATAACAAGTTCTATTCAAATTCTGCCTTGAAATTTGTAATTTATATCACAAAAAACCCTCAATTTCCATTGAAACATGTTATTTTCCTATACATATGTGCTTATGTGCACGTTGCACTCGAAACAATTTTCCAATCAACTTAAATCGCAAATTTAAAATGATCTACAATGTGTATTATTATGAGGTAATTAATTGAATAATATGTAATAACGCACTGTGGATCGGAAACAATTTGCAAATATAATAAAGGATTTTTGCGAGTTCTATTTTGCTTACGGGCATGAAAACTGCGTTTTAAGATTTCTTGGAACATAGAGGAAATAATTTAAGAATTTATTTACAGCGAAACCTTGATAATCCGTCAGGGCACTGGACCTAGGGTATGACGGATAATCGAAAAGACGGTTAAAAGAACATTAAAAAAAATAAAAATTCATAGTATAACCACAGACTACTCCACCCAACAAGAAACGAAAGCTTTGTCGGTACCTTTGGTGTTCGTAGGACAGAAATTTCAGAGTGACAATGACAGTTAAACTACTTAGTACACTAAGAAAAGTAATAAGGAAGTCGTTCAAAACTAAACGAACTGAAATAAAATTATAGTTACACTTAGAAACGAAATAATTATTAAAACTAAGTAGATCTCTTTTGTATAAATTGTATTTTTTTTCTCAAAAAGTGTATTTAACTGAAATATAAATTTTCTGATAACTCTTATAACGCATTTGAATTTTAAATTCTCGAACAATACAATAAAATCCTCCTTTTCGTGTAGTCGTCACAATGAGTTATTTGCTTCTTCTTTCCACTTGATGAATTGTTGTATGTGCGATGCAGCTTCTCTAGCTTCTTTAAGCAAATCTTTGTGAGTTGCAATAGCATCATCAACATCGCCACCGTCAAAGTCTGTCTCAGCTTCTGAATCAGTTTCGTTCGCCTCTGTTGCCCAACGATTTGATCATCTGTCAACAATCGATAGCCATTTGCGTTCTCATCACAAATTAACAATTCGTTTTTGTCATCTTTAGGCAACGAAGACAAAACAGTTGATTCAGCCATAACTTTATTTGTTACCGCATCACGCTCAGCTGCCATGGGGGCATTTTCATCTTAAGTTGATTCAGACCCTACTTTATTCCACGCTCTTCTCAGCGTTACTTCCGAAACATCAGCTTAAGCATCCACAGTATTGTCGACTGCGTGTTTTAAGTTGTATGCTTTTAAGTATTCTGGCAAAGAATATTCCTCTTCCATAACTAGGTTTTGAATATTTTTTTTTGTATCTTCTTTTGAATGTTTCAATGATCGATTGATCCATTGGCTGTATCAATGATACAGGATGTTGTATTCGTAGGCAGAAAAGAACACGTGATATTTCCATGGTAACATCGCAGCATGCCAGCTTCAGGATGGGCAGGTGGATTGTCCAAAATGAAAATCGCCTTTGGTGGCAAATTTTTTGCTTGCAAGTATTGTCGAACGTTCAGTGTAAAAACCTGAAAAACAAGACGTTAGAAAAATAGATAAATAAATTTTGGTTTGCAGTACATACCTTTTTGAACCAGTCAGCGAATATTTCCTGGGACATCCATGCATAGTAATTAACGGAAAGCGCGTTCATATTTATGCCCGTGAAACAACGGGTTTTTTTTACTGTACCAATCAATAATAAAGGAAGGCGATGGTCACCGCTTGCATTTGAACACATTATTGCTGTGATTCGTTGCTTTTGTGTTTTAAATCCGGATGCATATTTTTTAGACACTGCAGTGAGTATTTTCGTTTTCAATACTTTGTAGTTTAAACCAGTTTCATCCGCACTGAACGCTTTACCGCGTCTCAAAGCATATTCATCGATCATAGCTTAAAACTTGCTTTTTTATTTGTCAACGACTTCAATACTTGTGGCGCTCAATTTTTCACCTTCGATTTTCAGTTCTCGTATACCGTAGCGATTGTTGAACTTTTTCAACCAACCACTGCTTCCTTTGAATGAAATATCGCCATTTAATTTCATGTTGAAAAACAAAGCTTTTTCGACAACAATGGGTCCAGACAAAGGAACACATTAGCCTCTTTTTTGAACGAACCACAAATATAAAGCCGCCTCCGAGCTATTCATTGATTGCTTTTTTCATTTTCTTACGATGTTTCACCCGGCCATCCAACGATTTCATTTGCGAACCATACTTTTCAATTCCTTTAGCAATTTTCTTTAAATCATTGATTGTTGTTCTCAGAACATAATACTTTCGCTCAAGGTGACAGCAAGCACCTTTCTTTAGTTCTGGAATAAGTTAAATTTTTTTTCAATTAACAAAACAACACGTTTTCTTTTTGATGCTCCAGATGTGGAAGGCTCCATTTTTCAAAAGTTAATTGATCAAACGAGTAAGTGGCACAATCAATTGTGCCGTGCGTTTTTATTTTCGGCTTGTGATTCTAAAAATAGAACTCTAAACAAACATTATTTACATAAAAAATGCGGTGGTGGCATAACTACACGTCTACGTTTCAACGAATTTCGTTTGGTTTATCGCAATGCTCAAACAAAATGAATTCATGACTAAATTTTTACTTATGTAGTCAATATAACTTATGTATGGACGGTTAATAGAGGTGACGGATAATCGAGGTTCCACTGTAATAAATTTTCAGTATACGTATACATTACATGGAAGGCAGCGCATTTCTGACTATTAATTGTCTTCAGTACGGTGCAGCCAAGTCAGAAAAGGAGCATGTTAACTTGGAAAAGGTTTACTACAGGAACAATGCGACTAATTTGTGGCATTAGAGTTAGAAGACCCTTGTTGGTTTCCAGGGCAGCAACTAACAATAACCACGGAAGAAGCTACAGCTACCTGAAGGGGCCTGAAGGAACTTCGGAAATCGTTATCAAAATATTCCGAAGTTGAAGTCGAAACGTCAAATAAATTTAATTTCTAACTAATATTCAGGCTTATTTCCAACTAAAATAGTAAATTTGCATAAGATGCCACAAGAAAATAACTTCAGAAATATAATAAAGAAACGGTTACTTCTAATTTCAGTACAACTTTTATTTTTGATTTAATTTTCGTTGTTATTTGATAATTCTTCTGTAGCCAATCCGGAGTGTTGGAAACTGTCCCAGTGTGGAGTGTCCGTAATTTTCGAGCAATTAAAAGTTTATTTTCTATTATATATTTGCGAACTAGGGATCTTTATGTAAAGTAATTCATAGAAATCTCAAACGTAACAGGTGCCGAAGGTCAACAGACAGGAAATTTTCGATCCAACTTCTAACTTCACCATTCACGCTCCCACTTCGTCGCAAGTCGGAAGCCGGACCTTCAAGTAGTCCTTCTAGATGCTCCGACTCGTACCACTAGTTCAACTAGTACCAACTAATCGAACCATACCACTCACGGTCCGATTTCAGATCCAACTGCGGACCACTAGTCGGACTAAAAATCGGAACGTGAATGGCCTGTTTAATATACCTACTTATCTTATTAGAACCTTCAAATATCTGTATAATATTTTTACGTGAAGTCAATGATTTTTTCACAGATAAACTGGCGTAAAAGGAATATTGATCATAAAGAGAACATTTTCATTTAAAAATAAATGACTGTTAAAAATTTCGATACAAAATATTTATTCTACAGAAATCATATATTTTTTATACATTTAGTACATTATGGTGCTCTAAATATTTCCCGGTTTTAAAACTCCTGATTAGTGAGTTATTAGTCACTTATGATTTCGGTTTCAAGGACAGATAATATGGTGTTTACCTAGTTTTTACCTTTTAATGGGAATAGTGAACAAAATTTGTATTTCATCATGTTTATCTATAATAGTATGTTGAGTTTGTATTAAAGTATTTTTCCATTTAAATAATTTTTAACTAGGTAAATTTCGCCTTAAGGTAGAATATTTTCAGAAATCTAATTGCCATTACAAAATATATAATGAAAAATGTCTAATTGAGAAATTACAATAGTAGTTTTATCATTTTCATTCTTTGTAAATATGAACAATAAGTTGTCATGCAGTATCGGTGTACGTATTTAATAGACTATAGAGACACTATTGCAAATTGCCTGGACACTGACCTACATTAAACTTCACTGCGTAATGAATTGATGTACTTAATTTGCCAACATAAATTGTGGAACTTTGTTGGAACGAGTAATAGAAACAAAAATAAGTATATAATTTCATTGAACTAATAATATTAAAACTGTTACACTTTGACAAAAACTCATCAATTTTTGAAACATTTACCTAAGTTGGGTACTATGTGTGTTCAGTGTGGATCAAAAACAAAAGCGATCTTTTGCCTAAATAAGTTAATTACGAAACGTTAATTCATTATCAGAAATTAAATAGCAGTGCATAGGAGTTGATTTTCAGCTCCAAAGAATGCGAAAACATTGCCGTCGGCGTCATGGGATGCAATATGAATTTGGCTGATCGACTATCTCGAAAAAGATAAAGCCGTGATTGGACAATACTGCTCTGAACTTCTACTGAAACTGGATGCAAACATTGGTTCAAAAACCCGATTTAAAAATCCATTAGGACAGTTAACCTTTCCACAAAAGGCCCTTTCTTTGGCAATGAAAAAATTGGGAGATTTGTACTATGAAGTGCTGGAACATCTACCGTATCCACCAGATTTGGCTCCTTGTGATCGACGCTTTTTGCCCAGCCAAGAAACTAATGCGGTTATAGATGAAAGGAAGCACTTTTATAGGAACCAGCAGAGAGTGGATCACGGCATTGGAATACCGCTGCAACGGTGGAACGATATATTGATATAAGAGAAGGTTACGTTAATAAGATATAGGTTTTTACCATTGCACATGGTTGTTTCTATTATTTTAATTTTATTATTTATCTATTCTGAAGAATAAGTAGTATTATATAAGCAAACTATTTACTTATGTACACAAACAATCTAGGCCCTTCTGTTGTGTCGGAAAGAGGTTGGGTGTGGTTCTTTCAAAATTCATATACAAGCTGTTTGTATTATATTTAAAATTAAAATGAATTGGGCATCATTCCTTAATAGGTTACCCTCGTAAGGAAACGAGCTCAGACAAAGAAATAAAATGAAAAATTTAATACAAAGTTAACCTTTATTATTTTATAATGAACAAAACGTTATTAAAAGATTCTACGTTAAAAGGTTATGTCATCCTGACAGAAAAGAAATAAAGAGTCTGTGTTTTGATATTAAATTACTAATGAGAAGTGCTTATACAAAACTAAAATTAAAATCATATCGTAAGAAAACAAACATTTTATATCTTGGCATTAGATTATGAAAGAGAAATACTTAAAAGAAAATAAAATTATACTTTATCTTTATCTATTAATTTTCTTTTAATTATAAATGAAAATTTCGAAATTCGTTCACATAAAAAAATATATTTATATATTATGTAGATATTTATATATTATATAGATATTTTTTGTAATTAAAAGATCAATAATAAATCACTTCACTCTTATTTAGTTCATAGATAATCTTCACTGTTCAATAAAAAAATATAAAATTGGTATACAACCTGAATTATCCAAATGCTTGTGTGGCTTATAGAAAGGTTATAATTTTTACCAACTAGGTACTCAGCCTGAGGTTTCAGAACGTTGAATCTATCGGCAGTAGAACCATAATATCCACCATAAAAATATATAGGATTGGGCGGTTAAGCAAACGGGATATTCTTCGAATTGTTGGTTTCAGAACACATACCATAACTACATATCTGTTTAGATAACCTCGGTCCACTAAACATAGTTCTGGCAACTATTAGGGCTCCCGGTAAAGGTCTAAAATAAATATTTATTTGGGAATATAAAAAAGAAAAATTTTGCGGATTACCTCGTCAAGAGAATACTCAAACAAAATTTCGTCCTGTCTGTTAGACCTTCAAAGAGAGATAGAGGGAGATGCATGGCGGGGACTTTACGAATGCTCTGATTTTGAAGCGAAGCTCGGAGCTATTAGGAACTACAGTTGGATCCTGGAGGTAATTTAGATGCACTCGGTGGATAGATGGCGTGAGCATCATTGATTTGAATATTTACTAGGAATTATAATAATAAATTTGTACTACCAATTTGAAGGTTGATATATGTTTTTTATGAAGAAGAATGTAAGGTTTATACTTGTCATTTCTAACCTTTTTATTTCATATTTTACAGTTCCCGACTTTATAACATCAAACGAAGCTAAAAGTCAGGAAGACAGCATGGCGTTTCTGAAGAGTCTAGATGGATATGTGATGATTTTATCTGAGGATGGAGACTTTGTCTATTTATCAGATAACGTACACGAATATCTTGGAATTAATCAGGTATTTATGCATTTAATATGATACATAACATTTGGAGTGGATACAAAGTGTATGTACATGTTTTTATTTAAAAATAACAAAATTGGGAGGTTATGGGTAATTTTCTAACAATTCGATTACAACGGTTATGATTTTTAACTTAGAAAAAAATAGGTTATTGTCTCTACCATACACGAATTGAATATTCAGGTGAAGTTCGAAATAGAGACAGCATGGCGCCTGGCAAATCTCGATCACAGATATTGCGGTATCTCTATTCTAGAAAAACATTATATATTATATCTGCATTATATCGTTTTAAACTGAAAAATATTCTTCACTGTTAACGGAAGTATTTACATGAACTATTAACTAAAAGGGAGAAAAATATGTCACGTAATAAAATTCGAATCATTAACATTGTTGTTCTCAGTAAAATTTTACAAATGTAAGAACAACCAAGAAAACAAAACCGAATGATAAATAAAGAAAAGTGCTTTATTTATTTGTCATTCGAAAAAAGACATAACATTTGCTGACACTGTTGTAGCTTTGTCGCAATGTCGTTTATATAAAAATATATAAGCGGCACTAACATCTCAATAGTCTTTTGTCATGTTGACACCATAACCTACTCAACGGCCTTTTATATTATCTTGTGTTTTGAATCCCTTTTATTATATTTATTTTTTAATTTTTTAGATTGATTTAATGGGCCAAAATATATTCGAATATAGTCATCCATGTGATCATGAAGAAATAAGGGAAATATTGTCCGGCAAGACAAGTGAAGACGAAAATACAAGCAAATCGATTTTCATTAGAATGAAATGTACTCTCACTAATAAAGGAAGATCTGTAACCTTAAAGTCAGCCGTCTATAAAGTAAGTTATGGTAGTATGCTAATAATAAAATAGGCAACATAATCTAAGAATCAACAATTTTTAGTATGATAAGTTTTGTTATGTTTCGTATTATCATTTCATTCGTTTACTCCGTAAACACGTAAAAAATAAATTCACTCCACAGTGAATCTGATATTGGTATTTTCTTTTTTTTTTCTTAAGCACGCCATAGCTTCTTCCTATGCCTTCCCCATTAACGGAGGTTGGCGACCACATTTTTAAAAGCTTCTCTGTCTTTTGCAACGTAGAATAATTCGTCTACAGTCATGTTTGTCCAGTCTCGAATATTTCGCAGCCATGACTTCCTCTTTCTACCTATTCCCTTTTTGCCATCGACTCTACCCTGCATAATGACCTGCAGAAGACTATATTTTTTATTTCTTAGTATGTGTCCAAGGTATGCAGTCTTGCGTACTTTTATCGTTCTGAACAATTTTTTGACTCGACCCATTCTTCTCAGCACTTCCTCATTGGTCACCCTGGCAGTCCATGGGATTCTCAACATTCTCCGGTATATCCAAAGTTCAAAGGCTTTAATCTTTTTAACTATTTGCGCTTTTAGTGTCCATGTTTCTACCCCGTACAATAATTGAGACCAGACGTAACATTCAACAAACCTCAGTCTCAGCGCAATATTCAGATTTTTGTCACAGAACAATTGTTTGAATTTTAAGACCGCTGCCCTTGCCATTTCTATTCGTACCCGGATCTCTTGGTCTGGATCTAATTCTGTGTTGATGTAAGCTCCCAGATATTATTTGTAATGCGTAACCTGGTTTATTTGGTACCTAAAAGTACCCTTAAAATGTGTTACTTTTCATTGTTTCATAGTCATATACAATATGGAATAGCTGTTTGGGGCAACTCTGGTCATGCCGACAGAATATTTAAATTACAAAAGACGGTGGTGAGGATACTTGCTGGAGCGGATTTAAGGGATCATTGTAAACCATTATTTTTGAACATGGGTATTATGCCTCTACCTTCGCTTTATATGTATGCAACACTGTTGGAAATTCACGATAATAAAAATAAGTTTACTATAAACTCCCAATTACATGATCATCTAACAAGATCGAGGGATTTAATTAGGTCACAACGATTCAGACTATCAAAGAGCACAAAGAATTCAATTGATATTCACTTGTATAACTATCTGCCTAACGAAATAAAAATTCTGTCTCCACCACTGTTTAAAAATAGGATCAAAAAGCATTTTTTAACATATTGTTTTTACTCAAAGACAGAATACCTCAATACACCTTTATAACGTATACCCAGTTTGGTCAGAATACTGTCGATTTACTATCTACATATCACATTGTATTATTGCTATTAAAATGTACTAAGTTTTATGTATTAGTTTATTTAGTCATCGATTCGGGAATATTCTTCATTATTTGTACATTTTTGTTACTTCCATATTTCAAAGATTTCTTATGTGACAGTTTAGGTTTGTTTTTTTTTGGTTAGAGATTTTTTTATCTTAAATTTTTAATTTTAATTCTTCTGCTAATACTTACATATGTATATTACTTTAGCCAATATGGTTAAGTTAATTTTAAGTTTACATTATTATATCTTTTATTGTATTTTTTTATACGGACTTCAAACTTTATGTAAAGTGGTCAATAAACGTTCTATCTATCTATCTATTTATATTTTGTCACTCTCTCTATTTGCTGTCCACCAAGAGTTAGTTGTTCATTATTTATTGGACTCCTTGATACTATCATAAATTTGGTCTTATCTGTGTTGATGTTAAGTCCCATTTGAATGCATTCACTATTTATTGCATCTAGTAAAGTTTGTAGATCTTCTATACTCTCAGTCATAATTACCGTGTCATCTGCAAATCTCATGGTGTTTATGATTTCTCCACCAATTCTTATTCCCTCTTTTCTTTCCCATAAGGCTTTTCTGAATATGGCCTGTGAGTACACGTTGAAAAGCGTCGGAGACAAGACGCATTCTTGCCTAACCCCTCTCGCAATCGGTATATTATTTGTTTCTATATCGTTCACCTTTACTACTGCTTTCTGGTTCTAGTATATAGCCTTAATAAACTCAATGTCTTTTTTGTCTAAATTGATGTTTTTTAATTCATCTATTAACTTCATATGCTGCACTCAGTCAAAGGCCTTCCTAAAGTCTATGAAGCATACATATGCACTCTTGTTATATTCCCGACATTTCTGCAAGAGTACCGTCAACGCAAATAATGCCTCTCTTGTACCCATGCCTCCTCTGAAGCCAAACTGAGTTTCATCTATCTGTTCCTCACATTTCTTATAAATTCGGTTTTGAACAATTTTCAAAAGAATCTTTAAAGGGTAGCACATTAGGCTTATCAATCTATAGTCATTACATGATTTGGGATTGTTGTTTTTTGGTAGAGGTAAAAATATCGATTTAAGCCATTCTTCCGGGATGTTGCCCTCTACATATATGTGGTTGAGAATTCGGGTGAGTCTCTTTATATTACCGTCATCTAAGGCTTTTAACAGTTCAACTGGAATTTGATCAGGACCCGGTGCTTTTCCTTGTTTTGCATTCTGTAGGGCATTCTTTACTTCTGAGGTTAAAATTTGTAGGGATTGTTTTTCTTCACCTATATCTTGTTCATTTTCTCTCTCGTCATGGAAAAGATGGATTATATATTGTTCCCATACTTCCTTTATTTTGCTCTCTTCAGTAAGTATTTCTCCATTATTATCTCTTGTTATGAGTGTTCTTCTTTGTCTGGTGTTGCCTGAGTTCTTTAATTTTTTTATGTAAGTTTGAAGTGTCATGTTTGTTGCTGAGTTCTTCCAATTCCTGGCATTCTTTGTTCATCCATTCCTCCTTAGCCTTTCTGATAGCGGCATACTGAAATCACGTCGTTGTCCGTTCTTCCATCCGTGTGATAACCTTTGAGTGGTACCACGACAAGTCTGGGCACTCTCAAATGCCCTACATCATGTCGCAGTCGTACTCGTTGTTGAATGTTCTCGCCACTTACGAACTCTATGTGTAGAAGTTGGGAATGGTAAATAGGAAGAAAATTGATAGAGCGGATAGCGAGGATAGAGCCGAGGAATACAGGGCAAGAGGTTTGTCCCAGTATTGACAGTAAGTAGGTAGAAATTTGGAAACATAGCTGTGGAGAATCCAATACCACAGACGAAATAAAAAGAAAGAAAACAATTATATGCAAAGTGGAGTTTAGGTCCACTGTAACAGATAGGTAAAGAATAGGAAATAGAAAAACAAGAAATGAGAGGTTGAGCCTTCTTGCATTTCAGACATAAATAAAACTTGTAGCTAAGGAAGCACAAACACATCACTAATAGCACTCCGCTATAATCTCGGAGAAGAAAAATTAAAAAGACCCGTAGAGACATTAGAAACTCTAGTGGTACCAGAAATAATCTGGACTGCACTGCCGTTGATTGGAAATCCTATATTTATACCTTGGGGTACGAGTTCGTGTAGAGTTAGGGACCAAAGCTCCAAGTCCTAGCCAATAGAAAATTGACTTTCAGGTTGAATAATGAAGTAAGGACGCTCATTGATCATTGTCTGAATGAGTGACTGGCGACACGAGGGACACATTTTGGAATCTTTTTAACCTTATTTCGTCCATTTTTGAACATAGGTCTCGCTGAACTCCTGCAATCGATCTCTATCTTGAGTAACATACTTCCAGTTTTGTTCCGGTTATGTTTTTTGAAGTCATCTTTCCATCATATCTGTGGTCTTCCTCTTGATATTGTGGCGTTCCAACGTTATTCCTTTTGTCTAGCAGTATGGCCCGAGAAGCTTCATTTGAGTCTGGCAATTTTTGTTGCGATATCCTCGACTTTTTGTTTTTTGATCTTACCCGGTAGTTCCGCTTCCGATCTGACAATCACAGAGAAAGCCACAAAAGAAAGATGTGTCTTTCTGTTGTGGCTAGTTTTTCATATTTGCCTTAGTTGTGGCCCAGTTCTTAATTATCCTGAGTTTTTCAAAACCTGTCCATGCCAATCTTGTTCTTCTAATAGTTTCTGCACTTTGATTCTCTTTGTCAAGTTTCAGAATTTGGCTTAAGTAGGTATATTCTTCGACATAGTACGTTGATTTCATATATTCAATAATATACGAATTAGTACCGAATGATATACACGTTGAAGAGGAACTGGAAAATATGTTATAAATCTACGTCAAGGTAAAACGCACAAACACGGCTGTATGTGACTAATTTGCAGATGCATACTCAATTGGGTGCACACGAGTACCCCTTGCTGGTGCCGAGATAAAATCTTGTCTTGGCCTACCAGAACGGAGGAATGCTAGAGCTATATTTTCTTTCTTTATTATCAGAGAATAGTTTTACAAATACTATAGAGTTTCTCATAGAAAAACCGAGATATTAGGACATTGAAACTTGACCGCCCAAGTGGGTGACATAATAGTTTTAACACAAATTCAATACAGCAATACAAGTTTGTGGACAAAAATATATATATATCCGGTTTTTTAGGCGTTACGCCCGTCCGGTAGGGATCTATGGAGGAGTATCACCGAGCCGCAAGCCCTTATCTCTTGCCGTACTGCTCCACCATAGGCCGATCAGATCCCAGCATATCCTAGTCTAAGCCGCAGATTCATCTAGAATTTTAAACTGCTGCGTTAGACTTTTTGTTTTCCGTACACCGAGCTGGGGCTCGACCCACATCCACTGAACCATTCGACAGTGAAGCGAATGAGAGGCAGCCGCACAGCCCGCTGAGCTATCTGACCGACGGACAAAAAAATACAGTTGTTTAAAAAATATTTACTTATTTGTGTTATGAACATTTTCAAAACATAAAAATGGTTTATCTGGTCATGTATTGCAAAAAGTGCTGACTTTCTTGGATTTACTTCTGGCTACTGTTCTACCAGAAACAGCTGAAATTGTCCCATAGCAGTATTTTTAGTTCTTCAGACTCTTAAATTAACAAAGTGAATATAAA